CATGGTCTTTCAGGTCTTTGCACGAACCTTCTGGAAGCCAGGGGTGACAAACCACGGCCCACAGGCCAAAGCTGGCTCGTCACCTGCTTTTGTGTGGCCTGTGAGCTGAGAATGATTCCGATTATTTTTAAATGATCGGAAACAATAAACAGAAGAGGACTATCTCCTGACCCAAGAAAACTGTATGAAATGCAAATTTCAATGTCTGTAAATAAAGTTTTATTGGAACAGAGCCATGGCATAATACAGGTGTGCGTCCGTGTATGGTCCATGGCTGAGTTGAGGAGCTATGAGAGAGAGGGTATGGGTTGCAGAGCCTGAGCCATTTCCTGGGTGGCCCTTCACAGGGAAAGTTTGCCAGCCCTGCCCTGGACAAACACAGGGCAGACTCCGCTGCCCGTCCATCTGTGGAATGGAGCGAGTGGCAGGGAGTGCCGGGAAGCCGCTTTGGAGTTTATCAAGGATGTGGGGTTTCCTGGCAGTCAGCGTCATTATCATCATCACCATCGCTGTCCTTTGAATTGTCCTATTTGTTTGGAAAACAAGTTTGTACCAAGACCTCAGCGGCCCCGCGATGGCGGGTCCTCTGATCAGCCCCTTCTCGCTCCCCCCCAATGCGGATGCACACAGATGGAGATGCTTCGTGAGAGCAGGTTCTGCCAGGCCCACTTGAACCTGGTCCCGGAGAGGCCTTCTGATGGGGAGACCCATCCCCACGTGCCTTTCTCTTCCTTTCCTTTTTTAACTAGAGTCGGAAGAGGAGACATTCGAGATGTGTACCTTCCTCTTGCTGCTGACAATTTAACAGGTTTTTAAATAGCCTGGATTCCTCTCAGGCCAATGGTATTGTGTATATTTTGAGACTTTGTCCCCAGGTCTGAAAGCTTAACTTAAGCTCCCCAAGACGTATCATAAAATATGATTTTTTGGGGAAAACGCTAATGGGCCATGAGCAGAACATTATTATTAAACAAAGGATGAAATGTTTAAGCTGAGATGGCCATTTTTTTTTTTTTCTCTCTCCTCAAAATGAAAGTCAAGCAGACTCCATTTCAATAGTTTTCAATGCAGGAATTCCCACAGTGCTCCGTTTGATTGCAGTTTGTTGAAAAGTTTAATGTTTTTGTAGGCAATTCATAATTTCCATGTTGAGCAGCCTGAAAGGAAGAGTGCTGGAGCCCAGTGTTGTTTTGATAGTGGGATGGTGGGAATTTTTTTTTTTTTTCCTTTCCTTCCCCCAGAAGGATATGAAAGCAAAGTGGAACCGTTGGGAAAACGTGGCGTGGCTTCCCTTCCAGCCGGTTCCTGCGTCCCAGATGCTCCTTTCCTCGGGTCTTCCTTTAGGACCCAGCAGAATAAATAGAATTTCCGGCTGCTTAATGTCTCCAGGAAGGGAAAGATTTTCCTCTAGGCTCTAATAGTGGCCAATTTCCTTTTTCTCCCCGTTATTTATTTATTTTCTCTATTAATAAGGACCAATTGTAAGAAGATGAAGAGACCTGGGAAATCCATCACTTTTGGAGGAGGGTTAATAACTTCCTTTCAAAAATCCCGACATAATACTCACTTCCCCACAAGGAACCTCGTCCGCCAGAATGCCAGCTCAGATCCCAGGAACACGGGTCGGGCGTGGGTTTGTGGGGACCCAGCCGTTCTGTGGGATCAAGTTGTCTCAGGCCACGAGAGGTTGGGGCTGACACTGGGGCGTCCCTGCGCGTTGGTGGGGACTGGGGCCGTCCTCCTTTGCCATCTGGAGTTGGTTAGCTCTCTCTGGGCAGCGAGGGGAGTCTCATTTCCTCCAACCAGTAATGTTATATAGGCAGTGATCCTGGGCTGCCCTAACATAATTGAAAATTATGTGTATTGTGGGCTCGGAGCGCTGAAATGTAGGCTCATAAAAATATGTGGTGCAGGTAGCCCGCGGAGATTGGATATGGCACACAATGAAGCTTTTATGTAAAGGAAGAATTATAAGTCTCCCCGTTAATGTTGCATTGTGGGTATGATAATGCGTGGGTGGGGTCCTCGGGGCAGGTCTGTCATGTTAAATAAAGCCTAGAGTTCCTAATCCCGGGGAGCTGGTCCTTGGGATGCAGTCAAATCCGTTTCGCAGAAGGCCAGGGATGAAAAGTTGTCCATTAATCGATCCTTCCCCACCGAATGTAGTGGGAGCCGTAGGTGTGTGGTAGATGCCGCTTGGCATTTTTCTTCACGGGATTTTACGAGATGGAGGGGGTGAGTGTTGGCAGGTGTCCATTTTGGTCGGCCTCAAGGAAATGACTCTGCTGAGTGGTTTTGACCAATGAGGCCCCTGTATTTATGTGGCAAGTGAGAATGGGCCGAAGTGAGGATGAGACAGGGCAGGAGAGATTCCCATAACCCTTTCCTTATATGAAATGGAAACATTTAAGTGGCTCTCACCTTGGGACAGTTCTGCTCCCAAACAAGGTATCGGAAATGGTTTGATTATAAGTGTGACTGAGGGGGAGGAGGGTGGCTGCTGGTATTTCCTGTCTGGAGGCTCAGGCTCCTAGAAGTGTTTGATCCGCCCCATCAAAGAGAGGACCAGCCCCTCACCCATCCCACCACAGGGAGGACCAGCCCCTCACCCATCCCACCACAGGGAGGACCAGCCCCTCACTCATCCCATCATAGGGAGGACCAGCCCCTCACCCATCCCATCACAGGGAGGACCAGCCCCTCATTCATCCCATCACAGGGAGGACCAGCCCCTCACCCATCCCACCACAGGGAGGACCAGCCCCTCACCCATCCCATCACAGAGAGGACCAGCCCCTCACCCATCCCACCACAGGGAGGACCAGCCCCTCACCCATCCCACCACAGAGAGGACCAGCCCCTCACCCATCCCATCACAGGGAGGACCAGCCCCTCACCCATCCCATCACAGGGAGGACCAGCCCCTCATTCATCCCATCACAGAGAGGACCAGCCCCTCACCCATCCCATCACAGGGAGGACCAGCCCCTCACCCATCCCATCACAGGGAGGACCAGCCCCTCACCCATCCCATCACAGGGAGGACCAGCCCTCTAGTCTATAGATACAACCTGGAGGACCTTGGAGCTAAGGCATTTGGTGCCAGGTCTTGGGGCAAGTCACCAGCACCGGCTACCCGGCTTCCTGTGCACAGGATGCTGCTAGGTACACACTTGGAAGAAGATTCTCTCCAAGCTCACATCGCTCCAGCTTGGGACCATGACCGTATACTTGGGCAGACTTGTGGGTTAGTGTCTTCCAGCTTTAGGTGCAACTGAGTTGGGTTTTCATTCTCCAGATGGAGAAGCACGTGGGTGGCTTTGGCCCTTTTCTGTCACAAGGGATTTGAGCGAATCCTTCCTTCTTTCCGGACTGCCCTTTGCTGTCCTTTCTGTTGAAATCTTCCCTGTGGCCGGCCCTGCTCTCTTTCTCAGAAATGCCACCTTCTTCTTGGCATTCCCCGGGCATGATTTCCCGGGTCTCTCTCTCTCCCCGCCTTCCCTCTTGGCTTTCAGAGGAGATGGCTCCCTCATAAGCCCTCCTGAGGCGACATGTTTGTCCCTGTGATGCACAAAGCAAGCTCTAATTGGTGTTCACCGGGTTCCTGTAGGATTAGTATTGGAACTAGCCTTTTTTTTCTTTCTGCTGTAGGTTTCTGGAAAGATCAAGGTGGCTCCTTATATGTCCTCCAAGCATTAACCCCTGCCTTAGTCCGTTGGCCTTTGGAGGTGCAAAGGCCGGAATCGGTGTCCTTATTAAAATCACAGCACTGTCTAAGTTCTGTTTGGTGGCCTGAAGTTTTCCTGAGGGAAAAATGCTGTAATGTCACCAATGAAAGTCAAATGCCCAGGGCGTGCTTGTCCATGTGCTACACATCTCAGTGACCAGAAAAGGCCCCCTTACCTCAGTTTCCCCATCTGCCCAGTGGGGAGGCTGATCCGTGGATGGTGTACGTCCCCCTGAAAGCTGTCACTTTTGACAGAAGCAGCTCCCCTCCCTTGCGCTGTGGATTCGTTTTCTACCTCGGACAAGGGTGGAGACAGACATGTTGGCTTCTGTCTTTATCTTGCTCTCCGTGGTAAACCTGTATGCATTTAAGAATCAATCCCTCCAGCCTTTTGCGTTGAAGGGATACGTTGTATTGTGCTGTGTTTGTGCATGTTTTACCAAAAAATACAGGATGTCCCCCCAAAATGTGTACAGTTTGAGTGATTATAAAGTCAGTGTTTATGAACCCCAGTTCATTTTCAAAGTTAAGTGAGTTACCAGCTGTTAAAGTATGTGCCCATTTTTTGGGGGGAACACCCTACATTTTTGTTCTCCAAGCTTTCATCTCGGAGGAGGAATTGCCTCCTCACCTTCCTTGAGTGACTCCCAGCAGGGGACAGTTCCACATGTATCCTCAGGAGATTGGTGTTTAAGAAATGCGATCCTGAAAGAGGACCTTCCGAGTTGGTGGTCTCTTGGGACACTGGCTGGAGCCTTCCTTGCTTTCTTCCTGCGGGAGCCCTCTGTGTCTCCTCCCTCCCTCCTCACCGCTCCTTCTCCGCGAGGGGTAGTGTGGATGAGGTCATTTTGTCTGGAGCTACCTGTAGCTTGAAGAGTAACAACATTGATGTACCTAATGAACGTGAACTCTAAGGAAGAACCTATGGGTGTTGGACGGTTTTTCTGTCGTTGATGTTATTCACACGCTCTTAAGTTTTTCAGTTTCTGGTCCATGTGTCATGAACCTCAAGAGTTATCTCTCAGGGAAGCTGTTTTTGCATTTCTCTGCTGTGTTTCTTTTTTTCTTACTTACGTATTTATTTACTTATTTATTTATTTAATCTTCATTGTTGAAAGTGTTACATCTGTCCCCCTCTTGCCCCCATTGACCCCCTCCAACCCCTCCCTTCCCCCTCTGCTTCCATGGGTTAAGCATATGGGCCTACAAGGTCTTTGGTTGATGGATTGCCTCGCTGTGTTCACTTTCCATGTTGGTTTTGTTTGCTCCCCAGTATCTGCAGATGAAATGGCCGCTCCTGGACGTCCAGGCAGGCACCCTTCAGAGCAGACAAGCCCTCAAGGATGCACGCTCCCCGTCGCCCGCACACATCGTGGTGAGTGACCTTAGGCAATCGCTTCCTTTCCTGAGGGGGAGATGGAGAACACGCTCTTCGGTTGATGATAACAGGCCTTGCCTGTCAGTCTTTCTTACTTTAAAAAAAACTTGGTTTGGCATATTCTTGGATATGGTGTATGTCTAGAAGGTACTTGTTTTCTTCTATTGGACCTTAGCGATGATTACCCACCTGGAAAATTTCCCACCCGTCCTTTCCCCTAGCATGGGGTGGAGTGGAGCTTCACGGGCTCCAGCTAGTAGGCATGGCCCTCGTGGTGTAGGGCAGACTGGAAATGGTACCCGGGCAGTTTTAAAGACTAGAATACTCCAAAGCTTCCCTGAAAAAGTCCTTTAGGGGAGGCGAGTGGCAGAGGAGGGAATTAGAAATTAGACTTTTTCCAGCCCCCTAGCCCCCCATTTATCTTAATTGTTGTAAAGAAACACTCTACACTAACATCAGAAAAATGTCTTCTGGGATGCTTGATTGATCCAAGAAATGAACTTAGAAAAGGCTTAAATTAAATTTAATCTGTACATCCATGGCTTTGAAAGCACAGGGTTTAATTAATACAGGAACCATTTGTTTGTAGTACTAAGAGACTACATCATACCGTGTGTGTCTACATATATTTTTAATGCACTGTCTAAGGATTTTGTAGGCTCGCAAGTGGAATTTATAAATGAACCTCTTGAGAAGGTAGCTCAGACATATTAGGATTTTATTCTCTCTTTTAGATTTATGTCATGAGCTGGACTTTATACTTTTGAAATTATGAATGGAAGGTACTTTTATAACAAATTTATGACAGGTAGAATTATGCAAAGCACGGAACAATTCATTTATATTTTAAATATCACAAAATGTTACCTACTAATATATTTTGCCTCCGTGTTACTTGCAGTTTCTAAAAATGGCAAAATGATTTTCTTAGGTAGAAAGATCTCGGATGCATCACGTCAAAATCCAGGTCAACTGCCTCCTTATTTTGTAGCTTTGCTGTAATTGAGAATATATTCCTTAACTAATTATGCCTCTGTTATAGGAGTATCAAATATATATATATGGATGTATCTGTCTATCTACCAGAAAGTAATTTATTTCCGTAAAGTCACTTCTTGGGTCATTGTTTGTGAAAATGTCTTATGCATTTTTGATATCGATAAGGCATATAGAAAAGATTGACGTTCTCCAGAAACTTCCTCCTTCCTCCAACCCCACAATAAAATTGATGCTCCTAATGACACATGCTCTTCTGATGCCAGGAGTTCAGGGCTGGAAGTGACCTTAGCGCTCAGTTAGGCCCAACCTGCTCCCAGAAAAGGAAACAGGCCCAGAGATGCCTTCAGTGACGTGCCCAATGTCACACGCTGTGCTAGTGGCCAGAGCGAGGGCTGGACCCGCTCTCTGCCCCCTTCCCGGGGCCTTGGGGAGTGCTCTCTCCTAAGGGAGAGGTGTTACCGTTCCATGGTGGGCTCTGTTTGGCTCCCTCTCAATCGGGTCATCCTCAGGGACGGTGTCATTGGCATAAAGAGGCTGTTGGCTCCGGGTTCCAACACAGCTTTCTCCTAGGAAACAGGGATGTCGTGTTAAACCGTGTGTTAACAACTCCCCAAGATTCTACAGAAGGGGGATTGTTCGAGTCCTCGAGGGGAATGTGAGGAAGCCCATCCATTTCGCGTTTCCTGCCACCCCGAATTTCCCAGCGTGGGTCTAGGCTTTGCCATTTATTTCTCTTGCCTTTGGAAATGCTTGGTGGGGGATTTGCCCACATTGTTTGTTTTGTTAATGTACAGAGATAGGACGTTATCTTTAACATCCCTTGGAGGACTCTTCTCTCTGTGAATGTGGAGAGAAGCTGTAATTCTTAGAAGTGGTTCAGAGTGGACACAGCCCCTCACAGGTATGTCCTGGAGGCACACAGGCCCGTTCCGGATGAGCAGGAGTCGGGTTTTGGCCATTGGGAAAGAGATAGATGATTGTCCTCCTCTCTAACACCTGCCTCCTCAATCCCATAAGGACAGATGCCACCAGTACGCCTTAAGCACCTGATACTTTCATTTGCAGAATGCACTACCCCCAGCAGTGGTTAAACCATATTTCTTTTCTGGAGCCCATGTGAGTTTTTTGGTGAGAATTGCAAGGAGAGGAGTTTGGGTTTTTGTTTTCCCTCTGCTGTTTATTCGAAGGCATGCTTACCGTGGCAACCACTTGGGAGAACACCACCACCCTTGAGATGGAGACCCTTGTCCCAAGGAGCCCCAGGTGGCAGCTGTAACAGCAGCTGTTGTGCTCTCTGCTCTGTTCCTGGGGACCTGGGGGAGGGCCCAGGGGGGTTTGGGAGGGTGGTGGAGGGGTGGGCTCTGGGAGCTGGAGAGAGGAGAAAAGCCTTAGCTTGGACAATAGGAAACCACATCTGTGAAATACTTAATGCTTGTGGCAGCTGACTGGTGTCTTTGGTTATATGAGTCAGCCCTGTAATTGTGCATTTCTGCAATCTTCACCTGACACTAAGTGGTAAGGAGGAGAGATGTTGGGTGCTGGGGGTGGGGTGGGGGTAGCGGGTATCAGTAGAGGGAGATGGAAAGTAGGATGGAGCAAGGCTGGAGACGGTTGGCCACGTACAGTTTGGGGGATCGAGGAATCATACATCTTGGGACTACGTTTGTCATTGCATTTTCATTGGACACAGAGTGATGTGCTGACCGGACACAGAGGATGCCTATGTGGATAAAGGGGTCCCTCTGCATTATGGCTGGTGTGTGTCATTTGGCTCAACCCTGGCCAGAGAATGTGGTCCATCTGGAGATGCCCAGATGAATGGCCAGTTTTTATCCAGACACTGGACTGTTCCTCACATTTCATTTTTCATCCTTTCAAGTGATGAAACATTGTCACATCACAGCGTTTCATCAGATGGGTTTCAAAATAGTTGTCTGAGGATTGCTTCCTAAATTCTGTGAAATTGGAAGTTACTGTGACTTCTGGGCCAAGCAGTTTCATAACGGTTTCTAATGTTTTCTTCTGGAAACAGAGAAGTGTCCAGTGTTTGTTAGTAAGGAATCACTGGAGACTGTCTCTGTTGCAGCCTGGCTAAGAAAGTAACTTTTCCCCGGTCCCTATTTGGGGCAGAATTCTCACACGGGAGTCAAAAGCATTTTGTCTGAATATTTTAGTCGGATTGGATTTTTTTTTCTCCCCATGTGGTTTGTGGATTACCACATTATAAAATATTGATGTATAGAATAAATGTTCTCAACAAGTGGAGTTCATATTTAGTTGATTAAATAATATTTAAAGTCAGAAACAAGCCCAGGAAACTTTAGTTCCTGTAATGGCTACACTATCTTGTTGGTTATAATCCAGCAGCTTCTCAACTTGTATTTTAAAGAGAAATTGCCCAGCTGGGTGTAGCTCAGCTGGTTCGATTCCCAGTCAGGGCACATGCCCAGGTTGTGGGCTCGATCCCCAGTGAGGGGTGTGCAGGAGGCAGCCAATCATTGATTCTCTCTCATCATTGATGTTTCTATCTCTCCCCCCCTCTCCCTTCCTCTCTGAAATCAATAAAAATGTATTTAAAAAAAATAAAGAGTAACTTATCCTTCAAGGGTGATGTCTTGAATCACCAAAAAAATAGGAATTTACATACAAAGCTGTCTCTCTCTCTTCTGCATTTTCTCAACTCCCCTCTTGGCGCCCCCCCCTCCCCCCCCAATTCATCTATTTCCTAAAAGTCTCCAAGACACTACCCACAAGGGCAGGTTCTCCCTCCCCTCTCAGCCTCCCCGTCCTGGTTTCTCATTCACGGAAGTAGCTCATGTTTCCTTCCCTGTGGTGTTTTTCAGTTTATATTTAAAATTGTTTTGTCCACAATGAGTGCCAGGCAGCTGGTTGTGTAAGTGGTTGAGTCTGAGCCTTGGCCGGGCTGCCTCCAGGGCCGGTAGGCAGAGGGTTCGAGGGGTTCGAGGCTGCTTGCTCCCTGGACACCACCCCCCGGTGTCTTTGCTAGACACAGGCTTTCATTCCGCGTCCTTTGTACGCAGCAGGAAAAGATTCGGTCCCCAAGATGGTGTTATTTTGGTACAGCGTGTATCTTACAAAATGGCGAAAGGCTTCAAAAGATCCCACCACGTTGTCTTCGGGGGTTCCTTTAGTAGCGGAGGTGGAGTCCACCTTAGGGTACATTTCTCAGCGGTTCTTGGTCTCGTGTGTTTTGTGGTGTGACGAGCACCGCTTTTTGGGATGAGAACGCTGTCTGAGTCCCGAGGAGCAAAGCCCTCCAGACAGGGCCGGGAACTTTTTGTTGTTGTTGTGGTTCTTGCTTAAATGCTGAAAGCGAGCGGAGACTCTTTAGGAGATACGGCGTGACGGTCAGAACTCCAGGCGAGCCTCTGCTGTCTGCGTGGGGGATTTTCACTTCAGCTCAGAGGGAAGGGCGGACCTTTTGCTGTTGGTTTCTGAAGAATTCAGGGAGTGGGGAGGCTTACTCCTAGTTAACAATAAAAAGCAACTCAGAGAGCATCCTCTTTTATTCAACACGCGGGTGTGTTGTGTGTCAGGGGTTGCTTGACTCTGTTGCATCCTGCCCTCTTCTGCCGGATGCCGTTGGCAGTGGGTGTGCCAGGAGGCCCTGTTGCTAGCCTTGGCCCAGCAAGACCTTCGTAACCCCTACCTGCCGGGTAGGAGTCATTGTTCCAGGTCCCGTGAGGAGTCCCGGGTGCGAGCGGGTGTGGCCAGGGAGATGGGACTCAGACTGAGAAATGGGTGACGAGTACAGGCTGGGAAGGCCCTCGGGGAAAATGGCATTTCACATGACATTTGAAGGCTTCCATGCAGTTGGCCAGGCAAAGGTATGAGGGAAGGTGTGGAAAGTGGCCGAACATTCCAGGCAGAAGGAAAATACATGGACAAAGGCCATAGGAGGAAAAAAAACAACACACAAAACAAAACTTGGCTAGGAGAGAAGCAGGAAGCCAGCTACAGGGACAGGTCTGGAGGGC